CTGGGAGTGTAGCTCAGTGCTTCCTGGGTTCAGTCCTCAGTGCAAAAAAGAAATGAGGTTAGCTGACTCTATCATGCTAAACTACTGGTTAACTTAGCTTGTGTTTGGTAGAGTGGCAGCTGTGTAACTTTGAGCAAAGGACTTTAACTCTCTTAGCCTTAGTTTCTTCCTTTGTACAATAAGAATGACACACATCTAATGGGACTGTTGTGAACTTGAAAGGAGACAACCTTATAACACCTCCACACACAGCATGCCCTCCCATTTAAATATACAGCCGAGCACCTTCCCTTCCTGTGGACAAAGTATTCCCCAAATACTGACCTGCTGTGGACAACCTTTCTTTCCAGTCAAGGGAGCACAGGTGGGCGCACAGCACCTGGGAAGTTCGGATGGTCTCTTGGAAGCCATGAGGTGGCCCCTAAGTCCTGGGGGGTGAAGGTCTTTCCCAAGTGGGTGTTAAGGGTTTGCTGAGTGCTAGCTTGACAGCCAAGAGCAGCTGTTCCCTGCTTACCTGGAGGAAAACCCAGGGTAAAATGACTTCCACAGCAGCTCCAAGCATTTGTTTTAATCTAAGTAAAAGATAGTCCACGGTTGGAAATAGTCTTGAGATCAGGAAGGTCAGCTTCGTTCTATTGGGGGCTACTCAGTACACCTTGTTTGGGGTCAGAAGAACAGGCTGTGACTTCGGGGGCCCCTTTAAGTCTCTGACCTTTTTTCCCCTGTTTCAGGAAGTGTGGTGCCTGTCCTAACCCTTCAGCCTCAGATCTGCCCTTGAGCTGTCCTCTGAGGTCTCCTGTGTGAGGACATCCAGGCCGCCTAGTCCTCCTGACCCGGTTCCAGAACATTCTGTGCATTAGAGCAGCCACGCCTGAGGAGGGGAAAGTGCAGTGGGGGAGGTGGGTGGGGGAGGAGGAATGCCGAGTGTGCTGGGAAGTCGGATGTAAATAAAACGCCTGTTTCCAAAAAGGAAGCACTGCTGGTGCTCTGCATGGGGCAGCACGCCCCGCTGGGTTGTTTTGACAGGACTTGAAGCTGAACCAGAGCTCAGAACCAGGAGGGGGGAAGGCGTGGTGGCTGATACTTTTTCTTCCTCTGCTTTCAGTTAGGTGGCTTAGCGTGGATGTGGAACCCAGACTGCATGCCTCCCATGACTTCCTCTGATGACTTCCAGCTGCACCCTCCATCCCCAACTGAAAGTCACTCTTCTTTTTTTAAGTTTTATTTTCCTTTTGTTTTTTGAGACAGAGTCTTGAACTCACTGCAATCCATCCTCCTGCCTCAGCCTCCCAAGTGCTGGGATTACAGGTATGCACCACTGCCACTGCACCTCTGCTTGAAAGCCACGTTTAAACTTTTGTGAAGGTGATTCCAAAATTTCTGCAAGTCTTCCCATCAGGGGATCCTCTGATTTCCAGTAAATCCCCCAACACTAGGTTTTCTGTGTTCATTTGCATTTAGTTTGCATAAATTAGCATACCATGGAGTCTTGGACTCTGAGTCAAGCCAAGTTGGGGAATGAATGCAAATGAACTCCAGCTTTGTATCCCTGGGAAGTGGCAGAGGAAGGCAGACATGACTTGTCTGCAAGGGCTTTCTTCATCCTCCTGGCCTGCAGATCTCTTGGGGCCTCTGGGAAGTCAACCAGGGGTCCGGGAAGCATCAACCTCAATACTTGGAGTCGCAGAGGGGAATGCAGTCATGCCATGGGTTTGTTTGATGGCAGCAAGATGAGTTTCTGGGAACAAGATGAGTTCCAGAGGAAACCAACCGCTGTACCCATACCTGCAGCTCATTTCCCTAGTGGTCAACATGGCGGAGAGAAAGGCAGCTCTGTGACAGGAATGGTGGGGACAGGGTGGACCTAATATGGCATCCAAGTACCCAGGCCTCTGAGCCACAGAGTTGGTTGACTGATGCCTATAGACTGGCTATTGGCCGCAGTGGAGGGCAGGTACCCCCTCAAGGCCATCCTCTCTTTGGAGACAGTCCTGGGTAGGACCAGGAGTATGGGCCCAAGAGACCCTCTAGTGCTGAGGGTCTTGGGGAAGTTCTAATTCTTCTGTGCCTTAGTTTCCTTATCTGTAAAATGGAAATAATAACACCTACTTCACAGAGTTGTGGAGCAAGAGTTAACCATGGTAGTCCCTTGGAATAGCGGCTGGCAGTAAGGACACAGTCCACAGACACACTTGTCACACGCATGGCCCCAAAGCAGCTGTGACAGAAAGCTCTCGGAGCCTGCAGAGGAACACGGATGTTGCCCGGCGCCCTGGCTGTGTGCCAGTGTGGCAGCTGTGCTTACGCGTTCACCCCGAGCGCCGCAGCCGCAGCCAGCAGCTGGCTGTGTGGACAGGGGCCAGGCATGGGCTCTGCCTAACCACAGATTGGGAAATGACAGCATAAACTGATGATGTTTCTTCCAGTGTGATGATTTTTCTTCCTTTTACAAAACTTCCTTCTATTTATTTTTCTCTTCCTCTCCAGAAGAGGAACATGAGGAAAAGAAATTGGCCCTGTCTTTGATTGGCAGGAAGGAACACAAGGTCCGCAGAGAGGGATCCTAGCAAAAAGGAGCAGGGGGCCCTCCACGGCTCACGTGGGTGGCTGGGGAGGGTGTATTGGTCCTGAACCTGGGCACAGCGGGAGCTAGAATTTGCTGGCGTGGTCTCTCTGTGCTCTAGAGAAGAGGACACATGGAAAGACTGAGTGCCTTGACCACAATAGTGCCTGGAGACGGGACCAGTAGGCCTTGAAACACTTACGGAGATCCAGAAGCAACAAGCCACGGCCACTTCTGTGCAGGAGGGTGCAGGCTGTCCCGTGAACGACGGCCAGCCCTCCTAACCCAGAGTCCCCGTGCCGCATGCCCAGCTCCTACGGATTTGCAGACCCGCTCTCTTGCGGGCTGAAAGCAATGAGCTCATGAATTAAAGGAAGTTCCTTTAGGTGGCTTAGCAGGTGGCTCTCTACATGGTTAACTATTCAGACCCCAGGGCAAGGCGCCAGCCCCTACTTTCACTCCAGCCCTGTTGTTCTTCTCAAGATCCAGCTGCTGACGGGGTGGGACGTCTGGTGGCCCAGTTTGGGGTCCCCACCTGGGCCTGAGTGAACATCCTCCTGTTTGGAGGTCACGGAGCTGCTACTTCTGGAGCTCCGCCACAGACAGCCTCTTGGCCAGTGTCCGCTCGATTTCTCCTCCACCTGGCTTCAGTCATTGTCAGCTACACTCACTATGCCAAGATGCCGAAAAATTTCAGAGCTAGGCTATAGGCTGCTTTTAGTGTTAGAGTTCAGAGACCTGTTGGACTTCACGATCAGAAAGAAGCAGTAGGCGGTGTGGTTGGAGGGCGAGTTGACCCTCTACCAGCTGCTTCGTCCTAGCCCCAAGGCCCCGTCCATCTCTGCCTGTCTTGGTTTCACTCCTTGACTAAGAGGCCCGAGGTCACTGAAATGGTGAGGTAACGAATGGGAAACAGAAACAAGCAGCTGAATTCCAGGCAGTCAGAAACGGTCGTTCTTGGAGGAGCACTAGACCATATGTTTTATGCTGCGCCAGCCAGAACTTGGTTACTTGAAGTAGGATCACGGGAAAGTCCCTTCTCTAGGCCTCAACTTCCTCATATGTAAAGCACATCTCGGATTAGCCAAGACCCTCCTGGGGCTGATGCGGTGTGGTCTGGGTGTCCCAGTAATCTGGCCATCTCCCGGGGATCAGAGTTTGAAGATACGTGGGAAGGGACTGGGAAATACACAGCAGGAGGTCCTTGTGAGTTTAGTTGCCTAAAGGGGAAAAGAAAGAAAGAAAATGCAGTGAAAAGCAGTGACCTCAGTGCTCCTCCAGTCCATCTGGGCCAAACTGACTTTGTTAGGGCTGGAGCTGATACTGGAGCACAGAAAATTGTATTTTCTAGAGAAAGTCGCAGCCTCACAGCCATCGCACATGCTGTTTTCTGACGTGCCCTTGCTATT